GCTGATCCACGAGGCCCGGCTGGAGATCCAGGCTGGAAAACCCGCATCAGACTGTGTTCATGTAATCCAAGCTGCAATCGATGAGTATTTACTGTTCCTGGATCATTTGCTGAAGGAATACAAGACCTACATGATCAATTCAAATATGTTTACAACTAAATATGTCACGATCGGCATCGACTTTCAAGTGATGTAGCCTACTGTTATTTGAGAAATAGTGAAATTGAACAGGATAGTACAATCGAATGAATTGGTTAAAGAAATGGGTTCAAGATCTGGGTCAACGGAGCCGCCTTCCACGTCCAGATGCTGATCCACGAGGCTCGCCTGGATATTCAGGCTGATAAACCCGCATCAGACTGTGTTCGTGAGATCGAAGCTGCAATCAATGTGTATTTACGGTACCTGGATCCTTTGCTGGAGAAATACAAGACTTACAAGATCAATTCAGATGTGTTTATAAGTTATTATTGGTGGTCCGTCTTTAATGAAGCCCCAGACACCAGCTATTGTAAAATGGTTAATAATGATATTGAAGGGTGTTGGATTAGTCTGCATGGATGGCCTTGGCCCTGTAGTTATGGAAAAGAATATATGGTGCCTTTTATGGATATTGTTTTCTCAAAGTATGAACCGATCAAAGGTTTAAAGAGTTATTTTTTAAATATCAAGAACAATCTCTACTCTCTAATCCGTGAGCGTGGTTCATTCACTGTGCCGTCAGCCGCAGGCTAGTGTAGATATGTGGTGTTGATAAGGGCGCCTGGAGAGATCATATGTAGATCAGATGTAGATCAGATGTAGAGGTGATGTGTAGATCAGATGTAGATCAGATGTAGATCAGATGTAGAGGTGATATGTAGATCAGATGTAGATCAGATGTAGAGGTGATGTGTAGATCAGATGTAGATCAGATGTAGAGGTGATGTGTAGATCAGATGTAGATCAGATGTAGAGGTGATTTGTAGATCAGATTTAGATCAGATGTAGAGGTGATTTGTAGATCAGATTTAGATCAGATGTGTAGATCAGATGTAGATCAGATGTAGAGGTGATGTGTAGATCAGATGTAGATCAGATGTAGAGGTGATTTGTAGATCAGATTTAGATCAGATGTAGAGGTGATTTGTAGATCAGATTTAGATCAGATGTAGAGGTGATGTGTAGATCAGATGTAGATCAGATGTAGAGGTGATTTGTAGATCAGATGTAGATCAGATGTAGAGGTGATGTGTAGATCAGATGTAGAGGTGATGTGTAGATCAGATGTAGAGGTGATATGTAGATCAGATGTAGATCAGATGTAGAGGTGATGTGTAGATCAGATGTAGATCAGATGTAGAGGTGATTTGTAGATCAGATGTAGAGGTGATGTGTAGATCAGATGTAGACCAGATGTAGATCAGATGTAGAGGTGATGTGTAGATCAGATGTAGATCAGATGTAGAGGTGATTTGTAGATCAGATGTAGAGGTGATGTGTAGATCAGATGTAGATCAGATGTAGAGTTGATGTGTAGATCAGATGTAGATCAGATGTAGATGTGATTTGTAGATCAGATGTAGATCAGATGTAGAGGTGATATGTAGATCAGATGTAGATCAGATGTAGAGGTGATGTGTAGATCAGATGTAGATCAGATGTAGAGGTGATGTGTAGATCAGATGTAGAGGTGATATGTAGATCAGATGTAGATCAGATGTAGAGGTGATGTGTAGATCAGATGTAGATCAGATGTAGAGGTGATGTGTAGATCAGATGTAGATCAGATGTAGAGGTGATGTGTAGATCAGATGTAGATCAGATGTAGATCAGATGTAGAGGTGATATGGAGTTTAGATGTAGATCAGATGTAGAGGTGATGTGTAGATCAGATGTAGAGGTGATGTGTAGTTCAGATGTAGAGGTGATATGTAGATCAGATGTAGATCAGATGTAGAGGTGATATGTAGATCAGATGTAGATCAGATGTAGAGGTGATGTGTAGATCAGATATAGATCAGATGTAGATCAGATGTAGAGGTGATTTGTAGATCAGATGTAGAGGTGATGTGTAGATCAGATGTAGATCAGATGTAGAGTTGATGTGTAGATCAGATGTAGATCAGATGTAGAGGTGATATGTAGATCAGATGTAGATCAGATGTAGAGGTGATGTGTAGATCAGATGTAGAGGTGATATGTAGATCAGATGTAGATCAGATGTAGAGGTGATGTGTAGATCAGATGTAGATCAGATGTAGAGGTGATTTGTAGATCAGATGTAGATCAGATGTAGAGGTGATGTGTAGATCAGATGTAGATCAGATGTAGAGTTGATGTGTAGATCAGATGTAGATCAGATGTAGAGGTGATATGTAGATCAGATGTAGAGTTGATGTGTAGATCAGATGTAGATCAGATGTAGAGGTGATTTGTAGATCAGATGTAGATCAGATGTAGAGGTGATGTGTAGATCAGATGTAGATCAGATGTAGAGGTGATGTGTAGATCAGATGTAGAGTTGATGTGTAGATCAGATATAGATCAGATGTAGAGGTGATTTGTAGATCAGATGTAGATCAGATGTAGAGGTGATATGTAGATCAGATGTAGAGTTGATGTGTAGATCAGATGTAGATCAGATGTAGAGGTGATATGTAGATCAGATATAGATAAGATGTAGAGGTGATTTGTAGATCAGATGTAGATCAGATGTAGAGGTGATGTGTAGATCAGATGTAGAGTTGATGTGTAGATCAGATGTAGAGTTGATGTGTAGATCAGATGTAGATCAGATGTAGATCAGATGTAGAGGTGATGTGTAGATCAGATGTAGATCAGATGTAGAGGTGATGTGTAGATCAGATGTAGATCAGATGTAGATCAGATGTAGAGGTGATGTGTAGATCAGATGTAGATCAGATGTAGAGGTGATGTGTAGATCAGATGTAGAGTTGATATGTAGATCAGATGTAGATCAGATGTAGATCAGATGTAGATCAGATGTAGAGGTGATGTGTAGATCAGATGTAGATCAGATGTAGAGGTGATGCGTAGATCAGATGAAGAGTTGATATGTAGATCAGATGTAGATCAGATGTAGATCAGATGTAGAGGTGATTTGTAGATCAGATGTAGATCAGATGTAGATCAGATGTAGAGGTGATTTGTAGATCAGATGTAGATCAGATGTAGAGGTGATGTGTAGATCAGATGTAGAGGTGATGTGTAGATCAGATCTAGATCAGATGTAGAGGTGATGTGTAGATCAGATGTAGATCAGATGTAGAGGTGATGTGTAGATCAGATGTAGATCAGATGTAGAGGTGATGCGTAGATCAGATGTAGAGTTGATATGTAGATCAGATGTAGATCAGATGTAGATCAGATGTAGAGGTGATTTGTAGATCAGATGTAGAACAGATGTAGATCAGATGTAGAGGTGATTTGTAGATCAGATGTAGATCAGATGTAGAGGTGATGTGTAGATCAGATGTAGAGGTGATGTGTAGATCAGATGTAGATCAGATGTAGAGGTGATTTGTAGATCAGATATAGATCAGATGTAGATCAGATGTAGATCAGATGTAGAGGTGATTTGTAGATCAGATGTAGATCAGATGTAGAGGTGATGTGTAGATCAGATGTAGATCAGATGTAGAGGTGATGTGTAGATCAGATGTAGAGTTGATATGTAGATCAGATGTAGATCAGATGTAGAGGTAATGTGTAGATCAGATGTAGATCAGATGTAGAGGTGTACTCTTGGATCTACCGGGACTGGGTTTGACCCCAAGCTTTGACCCTTTGCATGTCATCCTTCTCTCTCCCTCTCATATCTTCAGCTGTCCTGTCAATAAAGGCCTAAAAATGGCCAAAAATAATCTTTAAAAATAATAATAATTATAATCTTTTAATTTAACATATAGTAACTTCAAGTAAAAAAAGTGTTGATAAAACTTCCATTGTAATATTTTGACGTATTTACTCTCATCTTGTGATCTACATGTGTATCTGATCTGTGTTTTGCTGCACAGTGATGATGTCATGATGCTCTCCTGCATGTTACACGTTTGAGACATTATATAATCTGCTGCTTTGAATGTCTAGCATCTGAAATATTTTAGTCCTGTTTCCGGTTTAAAAATCCTTAAAGTTACATCTGCTCCTCCTTCCTCGTTGAAGACTTCTGAATCTTTGAGTAAGTAAATGTTGTTCATAAAAGTGTAAGTGCTGAACACGAGATGTCTCCTACTTCACTGTAAAGTTTGTTCTTAACGTTTGCTTTTGTGATGTTCTCTTTAACAATAAAGGATCATGTGTGTTATTGTTCCACGTGTCTGTGTATTTTAACTTAAAGTGTTGCCAATATACTATACAGCTTCTGCTGTGCCATTAAATTAATTTCTTTGTGGAATTTTAATTCCTTTTATTGAATTTGGGGCAACTGCACTCTATATTTCTGTCTATTTTTATTTTATATATTTTATTCTGTTTTCATTTTTAAAATATTTTTAATGACTTTCTTTCAGGGTTTGAAATTTACTTTTTCGACCATCAGCGAAATGGCCACTAAATGTTAAAATTTCGTTTCATACACAACCAGGACGTTCACTTCACTGTTCACACACACGCACGCACGCACACACACACACACACACACGCACGCACGCACGCACGCACACACACACACACACACACAGAGAGTTCCATTGCAGGCTATAGGAGTCCCCTGTTGGATAGGTAGACATCGCTCAGAGTTGCAGATCCCTCTTGGCATGTTTTTTATTATTTTTTTTTTATTATTAAAAATCCATATTTTAAGTTATATTTTAAAAAGAAATAAAAATAAAAATTAAATTAAAATTAAATTTTGAATGTCATTTTTGTTTCTTCAAAATGACCAGAAACACTAGTCCCCTCTTGGGCAGTGTAGAGCGATAGTCCCCTGTGTCAGTAATATAGACGTGTGTGTGTGTGTGTGTGTGTGTGTGTGTGTGTGTGTGTGTGTGTGTCAGATCTGCAGGTTCTCTGGATGCACGGAGAGAGAGGTCCAGGACTGGCTCAGTTCTACATCCCTCACAGTGTGGCGGTCGACAGCTATCAGAGGGTGTGTGTTCATGTGTGTGTTCATATGTGTGTGTTTATGTGTGTGTGTGTTCCTGTGTGTGTTCTTCAGAGGGTGTGTTCATCAAAGGGTGTGTTCATGTGTGTGTTCATGTGTGTGTTCCTGTGTGTGTTCTTTAGAGGGTGTGTTCATCAGAGGGTGTGTTCATGTGTGTGTTCCTGTGTGTGTTCTTCAGAGGGTGTGTTCATCAGAGGGTGTGTTCATGTGTGTGTGTGTGTGTGTGTGTTCATGTGTGTGTTCCTGTTTCACCGGGAGCTTTAGTTCATGTTCTGCTCTTACTGAAAACCTTCTGCAAATGTTTGTCTTGCAATCAAAAGATTTCCGGTCTCTCCTTCAGTCTTCAGATCTAAGGGTCAGTGTGTGTGTGTGTGTGTGTGTGTGTGTGTGTGTGTGTGTGTGTGTGTGTGTGTGTGTGTTCAGGTGTGGGTCGCAGACCGGGGGAACAAGCGTATTCAGGTGTTTAACTCGGTGACGGGCGACTGGCTCGGGTCGTGGGGAAGCTGCTTTAAAGACGACGCGCCGTACTCCGTCAGGTGACACACATCATACAATCAATAAAAACATTAATGCTAATACTTACATAAATACATTTACAGTTAATTAAAATAAAAAAATATTAAAATTAAAAATAAAAATTAGATTAATATAGATTAGATCAGTAATTAAACGATACAAATGTGTTTGAAATAAATAATAACTATGAAAGTTACATTAAAATAAAGAAGTATAATGAAAAATGTGTTTAAATAAATAATTATTAAACAAATTACATGAAAATAAAATTGTAAACAATAAAAAAAAAAATATATATATAAAATAATTTTAAAATAATAAGTAAACAACTAAATGTTGAAATATATTAAAATAAACAAAAACAATAAAAAGTTAAAATCTTTTAAAAATAATAAAATTACATAAAAATAAATAAACAATAAAAATGTATTTACATAAATAATACATTTAATACATTTAGTGTGTAATAACTTAAAATATTTTTCAAATAATACTTTACAGAGCAGTATAAAATTAAATCCGGTCTTTATTGATGACAATATATAATTGCCTTTTGAATTGTCGGACGACGGTATTTGTGTTTCTGTGTATTTAAAGGGTTGAAGATGTAGATGTTCTGTGTTTATGACCCGCAGATTCACTCCTGACCAGAAGTACATAGTGGTGGCCCAGTTAAACACCAATCAGATCGCTCTGCTGGAGGCTCCGCCCATCGGCATCATCGGCCAGTGTCAGGTGATCAGCACCATTGAGCTGGCTGAAGATGTGAAGCCACACCTGGTGGACCTGGACCTGAAGAGTTCTGACCTGTACGTGGCCGAGATCGGAGCCGGTCAGGCCCAGCGGTTCGTCCCGCTGAGTGTTTAGAGGTGTCGCTGATTATAGCGATTATAGCTGACGCCTGTCAATCAAACCGTGAGCGACTCACCTGACTAATCTTTCAGTTACAATCTACAGAAGCTTGTTTCCAACACGGAATAACAAAATAAGAAAAAGGGAATTTTGAGTTTCTCGCAATTGATATTTTTCGTAATTACGAGATTTTCTCACAATTCAGACATTATATCTCGCAATTCTAACTTTTCGAAATTACGAGATTTTCTCACAATTTTGACTTTATTTCTCACAGTTTTGAGTTTCTATCTCAAAATTCACACTTTTTCGCAATTGCGAGTTTATATCTCACAATTCTGACTTTTTCTCGCAATTCCGACTTTTTTCGTAGTTACGAGTTTATATCTAAACTCTGACTTAATTTTTCGTAAAGTTTAGTTCACAATTCATTTTTTTTTTTAATTACGAGATTTTCTCGCAATTCTGACTTTATTTCTCGCAGTTTTGAGTTTATTTCACAAACTTCTGATTTTTCATAATTACGAGTTTTTCAAAACTTTATTTCTCCCAATTTTGAGTTTATATCTAAATTCTGACTTAATTTTTTGTAAAGTTGAGTTCACAATTCAGGCTCTTTTCTCAGAATTGCGAGGAAAAAGTCACGGTTTCCTTTTTTGTTTTTTTACTCTGTGGCAGAAACAAGTTTATAATCAAATAAAACTCTGAGGTCTTAAATCAAATCAGAAATATAATATGATTTCAGGTGATTCTCATAGAGGAATAAAGGGAGTGTTGGTGATCTGGGAAGAATTATGCACATCTGTGGAAATCCACTTGTTTCGTATGTGTTATTGTGCTTATGGTACATGTTTAATCCTGTTATAATCTTCATGTGATCGTATATGATAATTTAAGCTTCGTGTGTGTTTTTGTCATCTCAGCCACTCTCCTGTGTTTAAATATCTTGACAGTTTTTGACATTTTAAAGCGATCTAAGAATAGTATTCATATTCATGTCCTCAGATGATGATATTTTGATACTTCTTGAACTCGTTGTGGTGAAGGTTGTGATTTAGTTCTCAGGTGATCATCTGTGTTTGAGATGTGATTGTCGTGTTATTGAAATCTGAAACAAATGAAAAGGTTCTGTTTAAATTCAATACATTGGGCTGGAGTATAATTTGTGCTGATGTGTAATAATATTTGCATCAAACCGTATGTGTATTTAGTGTAAATAAAGTTTTTTGTAACTGGGAATTTTGCAGTTTTAATGTGTTTTATTGGCACTCACGTCACCCAAAACTAAACGATACTACATATTTATACATATTTTCCAATAAATATTATATGACAAAATGCAACAAAACAATAACGCGCACATGAACGCGCGTCTCTCCAGCGCACAAAAGAATGTCAACAATGGCGGCGCGCATCTTCTGATTGATGCCCAAAATAGTGCCTGTTCGCCTGCAGATGTATATTTTGTGGTGATTGACATTTAATAAAATTCAGAAATGGAGAGTGTTCTCTAAGCTGGTGCGCCGCTAGAAACCTGAACCCACACTCGTGCGAGATACCGAGTGTACTCGCCCTTTTACAAGAGCTTCTGGACGCGGGTCGCACCCCCTCCACGCTTAAAGTATATGTGGCGGCCATAGCAACATTTCACGCTCCCGTGGCCAGACAATCACTAGGAAGAAACGACCTGGTCCTCCGCTTCCTTAAAGGGGCAAAGAGGCTAAACCGTCCGCGTCACCCCTCTGTGCCTATCTGGGACCTCTCCACGGTCCTGGAAGCACTAAAGGGTGCCCCGTTTGACCCACTTCAGTCTGCCGACCTGAAGCACCTCTCGCTCAAAACCGCTCTTTTACTGGCGCTCGCCTCCATTAAAAGAGTGGGCGATCTGCATGGGCTGTCTTCGAGCGCGTCCTGTCTTGAGTTTGGACCTAACGACTGCAGAGCTGTCCTTAAGTCTAGACATGGGTATATTCCTAAAGTGCTCTCTACCCCCGTCAGAGCACAGGTTATTTCCCTGACAGCTCTCCTCACCAGAGGACGAAAGAGACGTGAATTTACTCTGTCCCGTCAGGGCTCTCAGAGTGTATCTGGAGCTTTCTGCCTCATTCAGACAGTCAGAACAGCTTTTTGTGTGCTTTGGCGGCCACACCAAGGTCTTGCCGTCTTAAAGCAGAGAGTATCGCGCTGGATAGTTGCTGGCTTATGAGTCTAAGGGCCTTCACTGCCCCATAGGCATCAGAGCTCATTCCACAAGAGGCATGGCCTCGTCTTGGGCTTGGTTGAGTGGAATACCCATCGAGGATATCTGGGTCGAAGGACGAGCCCGGCCAGTCGTCGGATGCAGCATCAAAGGAAAGGCTGTCATCCTTTTCGTCGTCATCCCCTGACGTGCCAAACGAGACGAGACCCATCGCTCTGCTGGAGGGGTGCTGGTCCGCCTGTGTGAACTGGAGTCTTCGGGTGGTGGTGAAGCACGTGGGGATTGGCCCGGCGTGACGTCACTGCAGACCGCGTGCTCTGGCGGCCTCTGTGAGCGGCGCTTCTTCTTGCGCGGCTCGACCAGAGGGGATGGTAGCACGGTGGAGGTGGGCTCGCAGCTCGGTGAGGCCCAGGGCGTCACACTCGGGGCATCCGCCTCGAGTAAGAGCAGCCTCTGCGTGGTCCGGTCCCAGGCAGCGGGTGCAACTGATGTGACGATCCCCGTCCTGAAGAGGGCCTCGACACGAGGCGCAGGAAGGCATTTGAAACAACGCCCAGTTAATTTGCTCTTTTAGAAAAGTGTCGCGGGGGCGAACACTGGTAGCTTTGAAAGGATATAGGTGATGCGCGCCGGATGGCTTAGCAGAAGGCGATCGAAGGCGGCTGAAGGCGCCGGCGTCCCCGGCGAAAAAGACTCCAAAAATCCGGAGTATCCAGCGAAGAGAAGGTCTTTGCTGAAGGAGATTAAATCTAAAGAACTCAGATGACGGGGCGCCCAATATATAGCCCTTGGCCACGCCCATCTTGGCGGGCTCGAAGCACGCTCATTGGAAGCGGGTTCAGAGTCGCCCCGTCATAGGTTCGTGCAGTTGCCCCAGCACAGCCAATGACCGAGCTGCCTCGCTCATTGCTGTATGCTGTGCAGCTGCGATGCGTTTTACATAAAGACTTCAATATTTCTCGAGAAAAGGAGTTTTCCCATAGCGTAAGCTACTTACGCAAAGTCGTTCCCTCTTCTCAGGGAACCGAGGTTACGTTAGTAACTAGCTTGCTAATTAGCCTTCGACCGACAGTAGCGTTAGCTTTCTGGCTCATAGCTAATCTGAAGGGTTCTACGAGCTGAGCGGACTATATATCTCCGGTTGCTAAGGGTAGCAAGTCGTATCTAAGGTCCTTCCTATTTCCTGGAGGATTGAACAACATTTGCATTGCATAAGAACCTGATGGATGGGAATGATTGTTCCAAGTATTAGTCAAACCGTCAGGCGTAACCAGGGAAATGGAGTTATTGTTTGTAAAAACTTTAGATTTCGATTGTAAAACCAATTAAAATATAAACTAATGTTTTAAAAATGTGTTATTTGGCAAGTGACCATGGTATAAGCAGGTTAATGCCCGACGAGGTGTCCATTGGTGTCCATATTAATGAAGGCAACCGTCCTCCGCGCACACCTCGCCGTCGTCCATTAATACCTGACAATGGACACCTCGTCGGGCATTAACCCTTACACATATGACAAAAACAATTGTCTAAATTATGTTGCATATTCCTCAAAAGTTCTTGTGATGATATCACTAGTTGACAACATAGTACTATTTTCGGAAATCATAGGCTATCAGAGCCGACAGACTCGTGTGTCAGACTCATTTCAGTGCAAAATAATTACGTCAAAAACGATTTAATATTCTGCAAATAGCCTACTAGTTTTTTATGTTTATTTATAATTCATTTAGGCGGACAACAAGGCTACCAAGTACTGTGTGCACAGTGCACAGCTAATTAATTTAACGTTCTTTTTCCTAACGTCATTTTTGATGACTTTTAGTCGAAAATTTCAGGACTTCAGTCGAGCAAGATTTTCTTTGGTTGATTACAGCTCTGTGTGTCTGTGTGTGCGTGTGTGTGCGTGTTTTGTGTGTGTTTGTTTTTATATATATTGTTGTTTAATAAACTTGTTTAAAACAAAAATAACTATTCACGTGAAAAAAATCCTCGGTTGCACAGATCCAGTTAAAACACATGCCTTTATAAGACCTGAATAAAAGTCAAAGAATCCCGTTGGTTTATCACTAAATATTGTTTTGGGATTTGTCTTGTTTCTGAGGAGGATTCTGTGAAGGTTTTCTTTATTTAAGTAGCTCATAAAACACTTATGCTCATGAAGGAACGATCTCTAATCACTGCATTAGGGTTGTGTTTGAATAGCAAACTATAAATGTAGATTCATGCGACACAATGTGTTTTTCTGGACCTTGAACACATTGGACTTTAGAGACAAGTCAACAAATACGCCTAACCATTTTCCAGAGCTCTGATTGGCTGTTGTCATCCTGGTTATGTGTGAGGGAGATATTCAAACGAGGGTCATAGCACTTGCATGTTGTTGTCCTACTGTATTTTCACTGCTTCTGTTCTCATGTGTAATCGCTTTGGATAAAAGCGGCTGCTAAATGAATAAATGTAAAATAAGTGTTTTCTTGGTTTTCTATGGGAGGAAAATGCATAACGTACAATTAAACGCGTTGCGTTCATATGCTGTGCTCATTTGCGTTTCTGTACGCTTTATTGTTATGTTTCCTGAGTTTGATCTTTTAAAACTCGAGTCTTTAAACTCGTTGCGTTCATGTGCTGTGCTCATCTGTTATTCTGTGTAGTATGCATTATTATTATTATGGTGTTTACAGAGTTTTCGATCACTGAGTTCATATCATTTATTCATTTTAATATCAGTCTTGCATTAAGCCATGATAGCGTTTCAGAACGTTATGTACATCATGTACAATAGAAGTCCCATTTTCATTGGCTAGGCGCCGCAACCAATAAAACGGCTTGTTTGAACAACCCCCAGGGAGCTGGCAGGATTTAATCTCAGTATTCTGCTTATAGTGGTCAGTCTGCTGGACATCTGAACTCTGTGTGAGCGATCAAAGATCGGGAGGAATAATCATGGGCTCCTCATACTCACAAGCGGACTATGAGAGGTCTGCTCTTTTGGTGTATAAAAACGTTTTACAATATCAACCATGCCACTTACCAGATATAGGCATAGATGAGTCTCTGCTGAAATATTCTGGCTCCGACTCTAACGCTGCGCTACAGGCTTACTCTGAGGAGATGCTCGACACGGTGCCGGGTTACGTCAGCAGTTTCGGGTCTGCCTTTGGTGCACTGACTTCAGTCCCGAATGCTGTCGGTCTTGGAGCTCTGGTGATTTCCATGATCATAGAGATCATCATCAAGAGCAACACTGAGACAAGTGATGATGACACATACAGCCTGTTACGACGAGTGTTTGCGGAAGAGAAAGCTTCGGGTGTCCGCGACACAATGGCAGAGTATGTGAAACGCCATGAAATCTGCATGAACAATACCCAAGAATTACGGGAGGAAATAAGGAGACTGGAACAGGAGCTGAGCCACCATCTCACCATCCTCAGGAACTCCTTGAAGGACGGACAGATGAGCAGCCGCGGGTTCAAGATCTGGGTCAACGGAGCCGCCTTCCATGTGCAGATGCTGATCCATGGCGCTCGCCTGGATATTCAGGCTGGAAAACCTGCATCAGACTGTGTTCATAAAGTCAAAT